CTCTTGAACTCCTCCAAGCTACAGACAACAGACAACATTGCATTACCTGGGCTTCCCTGCTCCCCCGCTCTTCCTGCTCTGCCCACCCACTTCACACCAGCCAATGGACCCCTTCCCCACCTCCCAGGGGTTCAGCTTTGTGGCCTCTCCACACCACTGCCGCCCAAGCCAACACTAGCCCCTGCCCCCAGCCCCCGGCCAACACTCTAACCACTTAGCACACTGGCCAGGACCCCAGCTCTTTCCCTTGATTAAGACTCACTTCCACCCACTGCACTGACACTGCTCTCCCCAACTCACCAAGCGTTTTGCTTGCCAGAGTCAAAGGCCCAGTCCCATTTTTATCCTAATTAAACTCTAAGACCTCATTCTTCCTGAACCAGTTTTCACTATCCCAGCTTCCACCCCTGCCTCTCAACTGCCCTATCTGGGTCTGGGCTTCTGGCCATTCCTCCTCAAGTGCCCCAGAGATGCTGGTATCTCTCAGCTCCTGACCTTCACCAGCTTTTGCTCTTCCTCTCCATCCCCTCACATCCTCAGCTAGTACCTCTTGATGACAGAACCTTGACCTCCATCCAGTCCCCCTCTACCAGTCTCTGGACTTATATTCAAGTCCATCTGGACATTGCCCTGTGGAAGGCCACAGGGACCCTTGAACTCAGTGTCTACACAGAATTTACTTGCATACACACCCACATGTACCCAGTCACCTGAGAGTCGCTGCAGATTACTCCTTCTCTTACCCTCCACACCCATCAGTGCTCAGTGCCATCAACTCTACAGCCCTAACCACTCTCGGATCTATTCTCCCTTTCCACCCCACTGCCACCCCCATGGTGACTCACAAGAAGTCACCTGAACCCCAACAGAGGCATCTGAGTTGGGCTTCCTGACCCCTCATCTTCCCTCTCCTCATCTTTCCTCTCCATCTGCTGGTGTCCCCTGCTACGTGCAGAATGAAGTCTAAATTCTTTAGGATGACATCCAAGGGGGGGTCATGGGTTGGCCCCTACTTCTCTCTTCAGGTCCATCTCTTCCTCTACTTCCCAAAACTCTAGCTTCACCCAATCTGTTTGGTGCTGAACACCCCAGCCTGCTGATTTACCCCCATCTTTTGCTTTCCTTATTCCCTCTGATCGGAATGTTTTCCTCCCCATTTGGTCCAACTGTAAATACCCCTCACCTTGAGCCAAGGGAGCCTTGACCCTCAAGATGGAATGACCACTTCCTCTCTTGAGCCCCAACTGAACCCAACTGAACCTGTGGAGACTCCTACTGTAACTCTGATCAAACTCTATTTGCAAGTATTTATAGGTCAGCCCCCTCTGCCTACAATATATTCCTATGGACAAGAAAAGCTCACTTGTTTTCTTAGTTCATCAGCTTCTCGTTATATCCAAGGACCTAAATGAAGACTTGGCACATTGCTTCTGAAAGTCTGCCAATTTCTGCACTACCAATAGGGAGCCAGGGCAGATGCCTACTTGGAACCTTGATGGCCCCCAAAGTGTATTTAACAAGTCTGACTACTTAAACAGGTGTCCCAAAGTCCTGAACAGGGAGGAGGTCCTTGTCTACTCAAAAGCCCTGGAAACAAAGCAAAGCAAGGCACTGTGACTTAACCTAATTCTTCTTATCACCCTAGAGTTCAGCCATTGATTGTGGCACTTAGAGATAACGTTGTATATTCCACCAGGATGATTTCACTTTCCTCCCAGGCACTAAGGAAGACTGTGTTTCCCAAGCAACCTTGCAGGGCCTGTGTGATTAAAGCTGACCTTTAGACTAGGAAGAAATGATGTTCATCACTTCCAGGCCTGGCCACAAAATCTCTCACATGGCCCTCCATGGTTTTTTCCCAATTCCACACTGACCCTACATGACACATGTTGTAGATGGCAGTGCCAAACTTGGGAGGAAACTGGGTCCCTGAATAACTGTGGTGTAGAGCTTCCTCCCTCTCTCCTTCAGTTCACCTGCATGGAACTTTGATATAAGCAATAACCTTGTTGCATTAAGCTACTGAGACTTGGGTGTTCTTTGTTATATCAACTAGTGTTACCTACCCTGACTAACATACCATACTAGATGTGACTTACTAGGAAATTACTCATTCATCCAGCATTTACTAAACAGCTGCTAATGGTAAGAACTCTCTTAGATGCTATTTATAACCAAGGGAAGAGAAATTCACCTGTTGGACCATGAGCTTCTCAAATTCCTCCACTATCTCAGGCAAGCTAAGCCACTTGATTCCTGGCAAAAGTGCAAGGACTTGGCTGCCCATCTTCATCAGCAGCAGGTCCATTCTCACCTGAGAGAGCAGGCCAGGGTGCAATACCTGCCAGAAAGAGGAACAATGAGACAGAGGAGGGATCAGGAAGGCATGTTCATTCAGCCAGGGCTGGGTCGTACCATCAAAGGAGAACCAGCTGGCTTCTCATCAGAGCAAAGAAGAAGTAGTCCCAACACCCAAGATGCTTTTGCCTCCCTCACTCCTGTGTGCCTTCCCTGAGGAGATGCTGAAGGCAGCTCCTCTGCACTGCACTTAGCTTTCCTGGGAAGAATAGGGGGGCGTTTTTCTTCCTAAATATATTAAGTTTAGATCAGTGGCTCTCAAAGAGTGCAAACAAGTCACCACAGGGTGCTTGGTGAAAATGTGGGAGAGTTTTTCCCAAGGAGGTAAAAGAGATCATCAGGGATACCTGCTACTCATGTCTGCCAGATACCCTGGGTAGTGCTGAATGGGAGTGTAAAAGTGTGGAGACAAGAAATAATGGAGCCCAGGCAGAGAAGGCAGAAAATGAAGCGAGAAGAAAGGCACTTCTATAAAAATGAACACTGCCATCTTGGGCTCGTGTTCAACCTAGTCTGTCTCCAATTTATCCTGACCCCAGAGTAGTAGATCAGCTAGATCAGCGGTTCTCAACCTGTGAGTTGCGACCCCTTTGGCAGTCGAACGACCCTTCCACAGGGGTCGCCTAAGACCATCCTGCATATCAGATATTTACATTACGATTCATAACAGTAGCAACATTACAATTATGAAGTAGCAACGAAAATAATTTTATGGTTGGGTCACAACATGAGGAACTCTATTTAAAGGGCCAGAAGGTTGAGAACCACTGAG